TTTGGGTATGGTTTTGTATATATCTGTATGTATCAACTATAGACAGAACAGCTACGTAGTGCGAGCGGGCCAGAATTTTAATTACCTGTGCAAACAGTACCACATCGATAGTTTTTGCACCAGTCACCTCAGTCAAGAGTAATTTAAGTCAGACCTTTTTTGGTAGTGATTAATATATATAAATATTATTATATTGTTTTTATTGTTTTTCGTATATTTGCGATTTAACCATTTTATGTTATTATCATTTCTTCTTATTGGTTTTAGTATGTATTCTATTATTAAGAAAGCGTGAGCAGTAGAAACCATGTTTGTCCATACACTCACTTATACTCGTAATGTTGTCCACAAGTGGCGACTTGTCATTGGCTGACTCGTTGTTATATAATTGACTAAAATGTTATTTTAGCTGTAAGTCTTGCAAGATCGTTAAATAAATATATAGGAACTACTTTTGCTATTTACCATTTCATATGGAATACGCCCGTGCATAAAGAAATATTCTAAATGAGCATACTATTTTTTTCCAAAGATTGTAAATACTCTGAACTAAAATCGTGGCTGATATTCTTTTCTTGATTGTAGACGAAGTCGAAATGACCTGCAAAGAGCTCACATATCTCAGTACCATCTGCTAACATATTTAATCCTTCTGTCATCGACCGACACGTGCTTGACCTTCCTCTTTTAGCTTTCACATATGCCCTTATGTATTCGGTTACTGTAATCCTTATGAGCATAACAACCATATAAAAATGCAAAAAAAAAAGGTTCAACTTTGACAATTGATTTTAGACAAATGAAAACGTTTTTACGCATATATAAACATGCTCATTATTAAGAGAATAAAAATATTAGTCATACTGTAGGTACCTATATTGGACTTAAATTTGAAACATAGCAGACCTATAAGGTTGCCATTAAGGAATTTCCATCACCATTCCATAGAATTGAATTGAATATACCTAATAAGGCACACATCGCGGATTTCCTTCTTTAAACCCTTTTCCCTACGAAGAAAAACCACCAACTACAATGCGGTTAAACAATAAGAAAAAGTAAAATATGACCTGCACATCATTTTGTAGGTATATTCAAACAATTGATATTATAGTATTTTTCTGTACAATTCATATTTTTCCGTTAAACCAAAAATTAATAAACAATGCTCAAAATTAAAGTGAATTTTAGAATTTTAGCACAGTAAGTTTTAAGTTTACTTTATGTTCCATATAATACATTGATAAATTAATCAAGTCTTAAAAAATGCCGACTAAAGTTACTTTTGCAGTTTAGGCCAGGAAAAGGAGGGTTTTCTCAAAAAAAAATGCCGACCGAGATATTTCAACATATTTTAATTCCTGTTAATGTTATAAATAACATATTGAATAAAACACACTTTCAAAGATTTGTATTGCACTGTAATAAAAACCTTTTTTCTTCCATTACATTTTATTTACGTTCCTAAGAGTAAGCGAAGAACAAAGCGTGAGATTTCATTGGTATTAAGAAAATAATAATAATGTTTTCGAACATCTGACACACAACGCCACCCAGCTTCAAACAAAACAGAGCATGTACTATGAAAGCTGGATTGACTGATAGAATACTTATATTCTTTTGTTTTTGTAAATATATACATATTATTCATTGAAAACACCCAAACTCCGAAACAAATATCGAAATTCTTTCGAAGTTACGAAGAAAAGAGAAATGATTATGGCTGATTACTTCTTTGGGGGTGTATTAATAATAAATATAAACTGTACCGTAACATCCTTTTTGCTTTCTATTTATTTATTTATTATTATTTAATACTATTACAACGTCAAAAATACAATAGTACGGTAATAGTTGCAGTAGTGGAAACTGTGTCGCAACTATTAACACCCGGTGCCGAATATGTGTAAACATTCCATGGCAATATTCGTTTGTTACAATTCATTTCAAAGTAAAAAATAGAAGCGGAAACATTGAATATTAGAACAACTAAAAAAGGTTAAAAGACTGTTAACAGAAGCAAAACTTCTAAGCCTAAAAATAAATTATAAAAAGGATGATAATAATAGAACATTTGGTCACTCGTGTATATGTGTGTATACAGTACTGTACAGATCTTGGAACTAAAACTTATTTTTAAATTTTTTTTTCTTTTTAAGTCCAGTTTCGGGTAAAGGGTAAGGTAAAATTGGTCTCAAAGAAGCTCGGTGTGCTGAACAGATCGAAGCTGTATTTTACTCCGGCCCACCGCCTTCAGCTCTATAATACGCTAGTCCGGCCGCATATGAAATACTGTTCTCATCTCTGTGCAGGGGCACGTCAGTACCAGCTTCTCCCTCTGGACCGCATCCAACGAAGAGCGACTCGAATCGTCGATAGCCCAAACATCTCCAATCGGCTCGATCCCTTGGCGTTACGTAGAGATGTGGCTTCACTCTGCATTCTCTATCGCATATATCATGGAGAGTGCTCCGAGGAATTGTTCGGACTAATACCAGCCGCAACTTTCCGCCATCGTTCCACACGGCGAAATTTTCATCCTCATCACCTGGATAGTTGGCGCTCCACTACTGTGCGCTTTTCGAGACACTTTTTGCCTCGCACAACCAATCTGTGGAACGGGTTATCGTCTGCAGTCAGCAGACATTTATGGGCGGCGATGGTCACTTTCCATCAGGTGACCTGTCCGCTCGGTTGCCCCCACTGACATAAAAAAAAAGATTTTTCTTTTCTGCAATAATGCACTGTACTTTCTGTGCTATTCAATGACGGCTTTTGCCGCTTTATATGATGTTTAGTACATCATATAAAGCGGCTATTCCTAGAAAACCATGTAAATTTTGCATTTAAATGAGGCAAATCACAAAAGATCACGCAGCAAATTCAGCATTGTGTACTGCCTATCCACCGGGGTAGTTGGTGTTGGTTGGGAGGTAGACTTTGAAAGGCTGACCCCTGATGAGGCTAAAGATTCAGCAGTGTTTCGAGGACTTTCAAGTACTTTAAGTAACGGAAGCAGAAAAAACAATCGAAGTATCTGAAAAGCGCTTACTCTTATCGACTGTATGAGACAGCCTTATACATCTCAAGGAATTAACTAAGCTGTGTAGTGTACTGTAATATTTTAAAGTATGTGCTTAAACTTATTGATTGATTTTGTAAGTATTTTTATGGAATAACAATTGTCCGCAATTTTATCTGCGTGTATAGTCATCGCTTTGCTTTTCAGAGCCGTATGTAATGTTTTGTAGCCAAAAACCTCAATGAATAAATACTCTAGCCAATATAAACAGAATTATTTAAATCTGACTGATTCGAGTCGTAGAGATTAGTTCGTTTCATCATCATCATCAGCAGCATTTAAAAGTCCACTGCTGGACATAGGCCGCTCCTTAGAAAGGAGGGTTTGGCCTACCATACCACGCTGGCCAGACGGGTTGGCATATGTTTTATTTCAAGTTTTCCTTCCCATTATAGTGCTGTTATCTTGCAGAGTTTGTTAGTCAGCTCTCACAACACCCACGGAATTAGATCGTTTAAACTGGCAAAATTAAATAAAAGAACTTTTAACTTTATTATAATCTTAAAGATGTTCGATTTTTACTGAAGTAAAGTATCATACTATAATGCCATATATATCTTATATGGCATTATTGTGTGATGCTTCACTCCTTGAACCTTGAGTTAGAAGCTATTAAGACTATCCGAAATACACATATGGTTAAAACGTAAACGTATATGTTCATATCTTTAATAAATTAATTTATAATGTGTTTTCTGATAGCCCGGATTGGAAAATAGTCAGTCCTTTTAGATAACAAAAACATCATAATTTTGTATGCAAAATATAACTGGTATAAAATATACCTATAATGTTTTAGGTTACACAAATATAATCTGCATTAATAAAGTAAATTATTCAACAAATACCACACATACAATATTATTACTTGTATATATAAGCCTTATAACCAGTCGTTCCACTCAGTGGCTCACTCACTTCACTCACTGGTTCTATCTTAACGGTCGTACCTCTACATACCCTTTCCCCCCCCCCCCCTCGGATACCACCTGTCGGTGGCATGTCGGACTCGAACCGACTAAAAGCGCACGCCGTCTCGGGTACTAATAGCCGGGGAACCAGGTATACCCTAGAAAGCAAGTCCCTGGTACCCCGACATACCTCGGGTCATCTACAGACGAGTAGACGACCCCCCCCCCCCCGTGTGGGAACCCCATGTTTCCTGTGCTCCCTGGAAGCGAGCGCGCTTCGCAACGCGCTCGCCGCCACCCCGGCCTGCTTCTGCTAGGGTGACAGATGGCCTCACCTGTCACCCCCGGGCCTGCGCTATGGAGGACGGAGGTCGTTCTGCGACCTCCGGCGCCTGAGTCGCCTGCGGTACCTGGCCCGTTCCCGGGCCTGGCGGGCCGGGAGAGTCCTAAACCTCTCGCGGTCCCGCTCCGCCGTCTCCTTCGCGAGCATAACTTGCTCGCAGAAGCAGAAGAAGAGACGGCAGAGTTCCACGCACTCTCGCTCCGCACGATAGCCGCAATCAGGCTATCGAGCAAGAGAACTCCCACTCCGATGGCCGCCACGAGGTCTCGCTTCTGCTCAACCCACGCCGGGCACTCTGCCAGCGTGTGGAAAGCCGTGTCCACGGTCTGGCCATCGCAGTGGTGGCACTCAGGCGTTGGCTCCTTGCGGATCAGACACAGGTGGAGTATAACTATTCTTAATAAATACTAAATCCAATATCATAAAACTCAAATCTGACTCAGTTCTAAAGATAAACCTGTTTCAACAAAACGAACAAAGAAACTTTTCTGCTTTATTATATGAACATATATATGACAATTGGAAATTCTATTAAAATAAAAACATTTTAGTTTTTAACAATTGCTTGTTTCTAGAAAAAAACATTATAAATAAACATATAGTCGACATCGTCAGCTTAAGCTCTTTCATCTACTATAAAAATTCTCAAACTCTCTGTTTTCTGTTAATCTTTTGTCTTATAATGACAAGAACAGCATATGGGCAGGTCCGCATGTATCTTTTCAGTACCTCCTTTGTTGTCATCGACAAGAAACTCCATAGTATTATATTGTTGCCTACAGGTAGCTCTTAAGTTAGGCGGAGACTTATATTTCAAAAAACATGGAGTGTCTGCCTCCCTGCAAAAAAATGTTTGTTACATATTTGTTTTTTTTAACTACTAATACGTCTTTTTATTGTTTTTAAAATATCAAATGTGTATTGCCAAGAAAATGTGAATGAAAATCAGTAAATTCTCTACGTAAAGGATATAATATACATAAAATAAAGAAAAAATAATTTATATACAGATATCACTAAGTTTTTGATATTTAACCCATATGACGAGAATTTAGCGGACCACGTACCTACGTGATGCTTTATACGTAATTATAAATCATGGAACAGATTTTTTTATACTTAAAAAACTAAAAAATAACCTTGAAACTTCAAATAATAATAAGCACTTACATAGAGCTATTATATGACACTTTTCAAAACAATGAACAATCCGTTTTAGATAATTGTTTATTCCCAAGTATGTCTCAAACTAAGCTACACAAAGTGGTTACTAGTGTAGTACTAGTAACCACTTTGTGTAGCTTAGTTTTGGTTTAATTAAGGAGTTTTTGAGATATTAACTTACTTGCAAGTCTCAAGCCGGGCCGCTTGAAGAAAATTTTTTTCAGGAGCTTGAATTACGGTACGCCACTCACCGCTTTGGCTGAGCACTGTGTAGAGGGGCCCAAACTGAAAAGTGAAACATGAATTATTTCGACCACTTTGTGTATGTCTGTGTTAGCACTTTTTTAATAAATTTCAACTACCGCCTTACTTTAACTGTAAGAAAATTCACTGTGATCCAATCTTACTTTACAGTAATGTAACCTCCAATTTCATACTAATGCCCTGTTTCCTTACGTCAAAAATAATACGCAAGTATTGATTGAATTATATTTCTTGTTCCTACATATTTGCGTTTACTGACTTCCAATGTAATTGCCTATTTTGATAAAATTTTGGGGCTTTTTTAAACGTGTAGGACAGAAAAAACTGTTGAATATACGACAATGTAGTTGATGTGATTATAAACAACCGTTTCATTTACTTAATTATTGTAGAATTTATGAAGTTTAATTTAATTTTATATTAATTAATTATCTTTATTTACTTTAATTTTATATCATCATCATCAGCCTATCGCAGTCCACTGCTGGACATAGGCCTCTCCCATTGCACGCCACTTAGATCGATTTTTTCGATTTTAATTTTATATAATGAAATTTAATTTTATGAAGTTGAATTTATGAAGTTAGGTGTTAATACAAAATGACTTCTCTATTTAGACATGTGTTTATTTCAACTGGAGTTTAAATCTGCAATCAGAGCTGCACCTACTGGCGGTTACAACCGTCCAAGTCACTTTTTGTGGCAAATGGCGTATCTAAGGGCGCCTCCTAAAAAAATGTACTTGAATATTTAAATCAATAATAATTGAAGATCCTGACGGGGGAAATACTAGTGCTAGTGCGGGGTCATTACAGCTCTATTGGATAAGGTTCGCAACCAATAGACACCATAGCGTGTGAGCGGCTATTATTGCTTATTTTGGAATATTCCAAAAAATGACAGTGCGTCTTTAATAATGGTACAGTTGACGTGTTGTTACATAGGCGTAGTTCAAAATTATTAGAAAATATGGTTAATTAAAATAAAAAACACACTTTTGCAACTAGCCGAACTAAAAAGTAGAAAATTATTTTCTAAATAAATCATTTTTTTTTAGGTAATATGGACAAAATAGAAATAGGTCTATAGTTCTTGATAATATTCTTGGGACCAATTATAGAGACCAATTATATTATAGAGTTGGAGGCGATGGGCTGGATACTGTCTCGATCTGTTCAGTAAACCGAGCTTCTTCGAGGCCAATTCGACCTTACCCTCTAAATGACCGCGAAACTGGACTTTGCTCGATATCTCGATGCTTAGGTAAGTGACTACGAAGCATATGTAATGCTTCAGCACACTCCTCTAAGTACGTAGCACACAAGACACTACCCTATTATTAGGTATGGAAAAAGCTGTTAATTCTGAAGATCCTGATTAGGGTCATCAGCCATATTTATCAAGTTATTGTATTGTAATCGGTCCTTGAAAAGTGTGTGATTCAATTTAATTCCCAGGTGGTCAGGTGTCAGGGTGAGGTGACCCAGTGACACAATTTCTCGGGGTTCGCTCCGGGGTGGTGTGTCACTCTGCGCCTGTTATATGAGAGATCTGGGAACCGCTACTATAAATACATCCGGACCTCCTAGCGCCTGCCCGCAATAGCGCGGGCACCATCTTCGGGTACATTCTCCATTAAGGCGACGTCCGCACACGCGAACGTCGCCTCCTCCGTATTGGGTCCGAGTGGAGGTTGTCCTGCCGGGCCCTCTCCGCCGCCACCTTCTGCTAGATGATGTCTTCGCAGAAGGATGCGACTGCGGTGAAACATCTGTCAAATTGTCAGCGTATGCTGAGACGAGTCCTCACTGCAATCGCAGTGAGGGCTCAATTCCCTCCTAGCGACCGAGTGCAGGTACTTCCCAAAGTAGCCGTGCCCGTAAAGAACCTGTGTCAGCCGGAAGGAAAGGGTCCCATGCTGCCGCCCTGCCCACTCGACGATGACTGGCTGGAGCACCTCCACGGTGGCAAAGCCAGCACGTGAAGCCGTCCGCCGATGGCTCGGCGAGTGGCCTTACGACACTCGCGTATCTCTTCGGGCGGGGGCCGAAAGCCGCTATCCGCCCGGAACTCAGCCGTCCGCCGATATACTTCGGTGAGCACTTCCGCCTCCAAACCCACGGCCATCGCGCACACCGCCTCCATCGATACGATGCGGTAACCGCGTATGACTCTTACCGCCGTTTTCTCACCGCCATGCTTTTATATGAATTTTACCATAGTGTTCTTGTGTTTTATTAGTTATATTTTATAGTTCTATAGTTATATTAAGGCATATAAGAAATATTTATAAACTAAACTAAAAGATAAACCCATCGAATTTCGGCTCATTGGTTTTGTCTTGGTGAGTACTTTTTTTGCTATATGATATCCAGTCTAATGATGGAGTCAGAAGGTGGCCATAGGAACTTCTGAATTAAACAACCTTAACCCATTGAGTCTGGGGTCAATTGATTCGTCTTGGGCAGTAGTTTTTTTAAACATTAAATCTATGTCATATTACACTCATTAATAAATGTATATTATAAATTCGCACCACAAACTATATATTACAGTATAGTCCATAACGTTGCCTGTGAGAAATCGCAGCCTGCGATGAGGCCGCTTATTGTACCACTATCTTTTTGTTTGTATTCTACATTGAATGTTTCTTTTCCATGGTGTGAAATAAAGAGTCCTTTTCTATTTATCAAAACGAAAATAAAACTTGTTTTAAAGATTTTTTTAACAATTATTTTTTCATTCTCATTTATAATATTACTCGAATCCTCAACATTCTGCATTGTGATATGACGGAGTGACCAGACGGTTCACCGTCGCTAGTTGTAACGATGCAACAACAGCTCAGATGGCCGTGCTATTGTTGTGACTGACTATGCTACAAATCAATTATGAAAATAAAAATAATTATCTATATTTGTGTAAGTATGTGATATATTTAAAGTCACACATAAATGTTTGTATTTGCACTTCTATCTTGAAGTACTTAAGCAAATTAGAATATTTACCGTAACATTCGTTTCACAATTATTGATCATGGCCGGATCTCCTTGTCGATCATCTACCTGTAGCGCAATTGGCTGGAACATAGGCTCCTGAAATCACATTATGGCACAATATTACAATGATACCTTGGTCACATAATTTTTGAAGAAAACCTTCAAACTTTTTAAGGTTTGGGTTTCAAAATGATCCTTGAATTTAAGTTCAAGGTATAGTTTAATAAATGCCGCAGTGCCTAGACTGTCTGAGAGGTCAGTTTCATTTCGCGACATTCACTTTGTGCATATTCCTTTATGCATATTTAAAATTTTACTGCACGTATGGCGTAGTGGTTTAAGCGGTCGCCACGCCGCTTCCTACTACACCGAGTGTTGTGGGTTCAAAATCCAGATGGGACGACACTTTGTGTGATCCACAAATTGTTGTTCTGAGTCTGGGGCCTGTATTTTAAAAGACGTCTCAAGTGTCGGTTGAACTCTGATTGCCTGAAACTAGTTTTAAGTGCAGATCAAATCTTAAGTATCGATCTTATTATAGAACGCGTTTTAAGTTTTACTCAGTTGAAACTAGTTTCAAGTATTGATTTCAACTTACAGTCTGTTCTCAATTACGTTTTCGCATGATTGACATTATTATTCCGCATTACGTAGCTAATTATTTAAAAAATATTTTTCTTTAACAAACATAATTTCTGTGAATTTGTATATAATATACTATTAGCTAGTGTAGCAATGTTAACATATTAATAAGCTTGTTGTTCGTTTAAAATTAAATATAATAAATATTAAAATAAAAATGACTAGCTGTATGAATAGGCTATAACGAAACGTTCAAGTTATTTATCAACATTTGTCATGTTGAAATGTCAAACGATGTTTTTATTTGATATTTCTGAAATTTTATATTACTATACTTACTTTTAACATAAACCAAAAGGTTGTGGAAATTTAAACTGGTATTGTGTGTGTAAAATGTGAATTTTGGTGAATTTCATATCAATTAAGGTAAATTAAAGTGAAGTTGATTATAGTATGACAAGTAATTCTTTCGTAAATAAAGTAAAGTAAATCTTTCGTAATTATTCAAAAACAAATCATCGTAAAACACATTCATTTCCCCTAATTCCCCAGTCATTGCCCTAGAAATCACCGCTTGAGACTAGTTTCAGCTTGTGTCACGTAAACAAAGATCACAGCTGTCAAAATCTATACCTGAGTAATGATTTCGGCATAAACATCGTTCTAAAATAAGCTATCACTCACTTGAGTATGGAGTGGTGAATCTCGTTTTAAGTGACGTTCAATAATAAAATCTCTACTTAAAATTAGTTTTAAGAATAGATTCACGACTGAGACACCTTTTAAAATTATAAGTGTTCTTTGTGTCCGTTTCATGTATGTTTGTAAAGTCCCCCGCGACACAGGATTTATTCCTAAAAATAGTCTATATAAAGATTGTAAATAAGAACAAATTTAAAAGATAAAGAACTTCGATTAACCAATTGGAAAATTGTACAAAACTATTCAGTCTCTTTATTTCAATTTGTTTGACAAACTAATGTTTGTTGTTAAATGTAAATGTTTAGTACTTATATTTAAATATACTTATTTATATATATGTTTAAATATCAATTACACAAATCAAATAGTTTTGCCCTTCCCTTCGAAGTTTATTGTTATTATTAATAATTTAAAGAAAAATTCGATCTCTGCGTTATTATATATAAGATACTTACTAGAATTTTTCCTTCATACATTTTATTGAACCGCTCTTGAGGGTAGTCATTTGGCTTAACCGAGCAATATGTGAGACCGTCACATGAGTCAGGCTTGTTAACGGTTTGGTATTTACTAATGTCTATGTCTTTTATTGGACCAGGATACACGAACTGATTCCCTGAAATAAAATAAAATACATTACTTAGAATAAATTCTAATAATGCGAACAGTCTCCTTATTCAAATTCTAATTTAATAATTAATATTATTTGATCTTACATGATAACTATGTGTTATGATAACTATTTATTACTTTTATTTATAATACAATATAATCAATAATGATTAAATAGTTCTTTAAAAGCAGGAACTAAGATGATCAAAAACATAGCACCACACATCTTTTCTGTAGTATTTTATGTATACATAAATATTACTTATCGTAGCCTAACAAAAAACAGTCTTGTGAAATCTGAAATATGTATATATATATAGTAAACTCTTTTTACAGGAAAGGTCATTTCTTTAATGTCGATAAAGAGGACATTCCATTTAAATTTTGCCATGCCATTTAAATATTGGCTCTGTACTCGTATAAATAGACTTACTCTTTGAAACCTCTGCATATGTTATATGTAAACTGCAAACTACGACCTGTAACATAAACAGGAATCAGACATTTAGGCTATTTTAAAAGACGTCTCAAGTATCGGTTGAACTCTGATTGCGTGAAACTAGTTTTAAGTGTAGATCAAAACTTAAGTATCGATCTTACTACAGAATGCGTTTTAAGTTTTACTCAGTTAAAACTAGTTTCAAGTATTAATTTGAACTTATAATCTGTTCTCAATTACGTTATCGCATGATTGACATTATTATTCCGTATTACGCAGCTAATTATTAAAAAATAATTTTCTTTTACAAATATAATTTCTGTGAATTCATATATGGTATACTATTGGCTAGTGTGGCAATGTTAACATATTAACAAGCTTGTTGTTTGTCCAAAATTAATAATAATAAATATTAAAAAAATCATTAGATATGGACTATAACGGAACGTTCAAGTTATTATCAACACTTGTCATGTTGAAATGTCAAACAATGTTTTTATTTTTCTATTTATTTAGAATAATATAATAATATTATACTGTTAACATAAACTTAGAGGTTGTGGTGATTTTAAATTAAACAAGTATTGTGTGTGTAAAATGTGATGATGAATGAATTTAATATCAATTAAGGTAAATTAAAGTGAATTGATTATAGTATGACAAGTAATTCTTTCGTAATTATTCATTAAACAAATAATCGTAAAACACATTAATTTCCTCTAAAACGCCCTGAAAATCACCGCTTGTGTCTAACTTCAGCTTATCTCACGTAAACAAAGATTACAGCTGTCATAATCTATACCTGACTAAAGGTTTACATATAAACATCGTTCTATAATATAAGCGTAAAAAAATTAGCTATCACTCAAGTGAGTGATAGCTTATTTTAGAACGATACGTAGTCAATAATAAAATCTCTACTTAAAATTAGTTTTAAGACTAGATTCACGACTGAGACATCTTTTAAAATATGGGCCTCAGAAACAATAGTAAACGCTCTTAAAATGGTGGTTGTAGAGTGTATTTTATTTGAGAGATTATTGTGCTGCCAGTATTATGCTGCTTAAAGACATAGTCTATATTGTTTTCTCTCTACTGCCTGAAAATAACTAACTTTTCATAAATTAATAAATAATGCCATTAATGTATTAAGATTTCTTTACTTATAACATTACTAAAGGCCAAAGTAAACTTGAGATAAAAAGCAATCAGGGGTAGTTCCTGTTGACTTCTATAAAAGCTTATAATTTTTGATACTATTTGAGGCGTCCACTTTTTGCCTTTCCTTAAGCTATGACTTACTTTCAAATACTGGTTGTAAGAGCCGTTTATTTGCAGATCTTATATATATTCTTTAGGGTACAACAGCATTTTGCAACAAACAATTTGCCGATGCTTAAATATAGCACAGTTATAGTATATATAGTATAGCTTTTTTTACTGTCAATTAGCGTTATTAATAAGTCAAATATGTATAGGTACATATGCATATATGCCCGGTTCATCGCCTAGAGAACACATTAAGGCACAGAATCCAGTTATGACTGTGTTTGTTGTGTGTTGTAAAATTTATTTACAAGAAAAGAAAATTGTCTTGGTAATACAATACAAGACACATACCTATTAGCTTACAGGTAAGGAATTTAATTTTAGAAATGAAAAAATATTACAGGCATTTGTTTTAATTTACTTGTTACACAGTTCACTGTGTTTTGTTACTTTCAACTGATAAAAATATAACATTTCTTTTTCTATTTTAACTGAGTCAAGCCTGCTAGTTAATGTCACTGTTCTTATGGGGTAGCATTTGCAAGCAACACCGATCCTAGGGAGTTACTGCAATTTCATTCCTCCTCTCTCTCTATCTGTTATATGTGAAGAAACCAAGCAACACTCTTTGAAAAGGGTAGATGATTATGGTCAAACTAGTTAAACAACATACCACTGGTATTGTATAAGTAGTTTCTGAATTATATTGTACCATTGGGCCTTTTTGTGTTTTCCTACTCCATGAGAAGAGAATCTTCTTTACGGATTAGGCTATACACGACCCTAAAGTAACATTGATATGTTTATGCCCTAGACTGCAGAAGACTGCAAAAATGATACCGAGGGCCTACTGTGGATAAATGAATTACATTTTACTCGATTATGGATTATTTGCAAGAATGCTTGGAATTAATTAAGCACAGGCTATTTCTGAAGTGGAAATATAATGTGACCTAGTGTGTTTTTTTTTCTCCTTTTTTATGTTTTACTTATCTTTCAATTCAATTCTATCTTTTTTCTTTATCTTGTCTCCTCTCCTTTTAGTACTTAACAACTGACATACTGGCGCACACATCAAAACAATGTTGTAATATATTTAATGATGCGACTGTATCTAGCTGTAATTGAAAAAAGAAAAGCCCTTTCTTCTTATAAAGCTCAACCCCTTGGAAACGGGTGTTGACACAGACATAATGTTATAATGGCTTAATTTCTTTTTTCTAAACAACAAATGTGTGTTGATCTATGACTTTAAAGACTAAGACGATTATAAATAATTAAAAATAATAATTAAATAAGGATATTTTGAGTTTGAGTTTGAATAAATTGTTTTTATTTTCAATTTAATTATTTTAATTCCTACCTTTTAAAATATGGGCCTCAGAAACAATAGTAAACGCCCCTAAAATGGTGGCTGAAGAGTGTATTTCATTTGAGAGATTATTGTGCTGCCAGTATTATGCTGCTTAAAGACATAAAGTCTGCCGAATCCGAACGAAGTGGGCTTGTGACTAGCCATTTTTTTAAGATTAATGATTCAAATCTAATATTCGATTATAGATACGTAGAGACTAAAATGCAAGTTTGCATTGCAGTCTCTATGCAAGGTGCAAACACATTGAGTAATAAATGTATTTGAATTCACACTAGATAGAATCTAAAGATAGGTATGGATAATTCATACGGTCAAAAAGATCATACTGACTTAAGTACACCTGTTATGTTATCTCATTAAAATATACCTACACATAAAGAAACACAAACTAGTAGGGGACAACGGGTCACTAACAAAGCTTAGTAACTTCTTAATACTTCTTATCGACACAATGCTGTGCTACACATAACATACGAGTACACTTAACGAAAACCTCACCGTCGTGTGTTGCCTTATTCGAAATTGTTGTATGTTGTAACTTATTTTTTAACATTCAGTGGTATGATTCTTAAAATTGAAATGAGATACACTTTGATAACTAAATTAATGAACAAAAAAATAACTACATTCGGTAAAGATATAGAGATCAGATCTAGACTGACAATATTCTGCTGCATTGACAACCTTGATAAATTTTAAAATGGCGATGAAATTAAGTAATTTGAAAACTTTTAAAGTGAGTTTTCTATATAAAGTAAGTCATTTATAGCAGGTCTTATGATTAATATGCAAATTTTTCTTCAGATGTAAACAGAACTGCATACAATAACACGTTTATAATAATGTAGTTGAATTACTTACTTACTTGTAGAGAGAGAGTTATCGAACGTTCTAAGACAAGAACACGTTCCTGGTACAAGCAGTTAAACAATTTAGGTTCATCAGCTTCATAAACAAGCCTATCTTCCGAACACGAATGTGTTATCTAAATGAACTAGTAGGTATTTATTAATGCTATAATTGTTAATTTCTTTTAGAAATTTCTGCATATCTTAAGTCATCACGAGAAAGATACAGTAAGATTACTTTTTTACTTATTACTTACTTACTTATTAGATAAGACGTTTGTTTGTACCAAATTTATATAACATTCAGTGAAATCACCAAAGCATTATCGCTAAATATACACAAAAATAATATTCCATTGTGAATGCGGATGACAAAAAAGTAATTCGTCAGTTCAATAGCGAAACAATAATAATTCACACGATACAGAAAGAGCACTATCTACTGATTCAAAAATTTTTATCTACATCGACTGGACTGATATTTTTTTTTTACATAAATCAATTCGTGTGACCCAAACACAGATGTGCAATGTAAGTAAATGAATTTATAATTAGGGATAACAATTACTGAGAAAATGATAGTTAGGATCAGAAGGTCATGTCTAGTTCGACCGTAGTTCCATAACTATTCAAAATAATATTGAAAACCTCCTTTCTAAGGAGAGGCGTATTCAGCAGCAGATCCAGCAGTAGACTATTAAAAACTATTGATGATGATTATTGAAAAGCCCAAAATTATTTACAACCAAAACCAATTGCTGTTTTAATTAAGTAACATGTTATTAACACGTAATTAGTGCGAGAACTAAGTTTGGATTTCTTACATTTTTTTCACGGACTTACATTGTAATGCAAACAAATTCTGTAATTCAACTATAGATTGGAGTAATTTTTTATGCATACATTATCTTATTATAAGGAAACCATTTTGTTTGAAAACTGTATTATGTTTATAAGTAGTGTGAATGTTAGCAGCATTGCATTAATACAAGAGATTATATTATTCAACGTTTTATGCCAGAAGCTAACAATACTTTGACTTAACGTTTCATTCCTTGAGCATTATAAATTAAAATAATTACATTGAAATTAAAAACAAATTATTCAAACTCAAACTCAAAATATCCTTATTTAATTATTATTTTTAATTATTTATAATCGCCTTACACTTTAAAGTCATAGATCAACACACAATAGCAACAATCTGTTTTGTCAAATGTTTAGAAAAAAGAAGTTAAGACATTACAACATATGTCTGTCTCAACGCCCGTTTCCAAGGGGTTGAGCTTTATAAGAAGAAAGGGCTATTCTTTTTTCAATTACAGCTAGATACAGTCGCATCATTAAATATATCACAACATTGTTTTTATGTGTGCGCCAGTATGTCAGTTGTAAAGTACTAAAAGAAGAGAAGACAAGATAAAGAAAGAAGATAGAATTGAATTGAAAGATAAGTAAAACATAAAAAATGAAAATAATAACACACTAGCTCACATTACATTTCCACTTCAGAAACCTATACCTATACGTATTTGACTTATTAATAACGCTAATTGACAGTAAAAAAACCTATACTAAATATACTATACTATAACTGTGCTATATTTAAGCATCGGCAAATTGTTTGTTGCAAAATGCTGTTGTACCCTAAAGAATATATATAAGATCTGCAAATAAACGGCTCTTACAACCAGTATTTGAAAGTAAGTCATAGCTTAGGGAAAGGCAGAAAGTGGACGCCCCAAATAGTATCAAAAATTATAAGCTTTTATAGAAGTCAACGTAGTTTTCTATAAATCAGGCGGCAAAACAAGTACAGGAACTACCCCTGTTTGCTTTTTATCTCAAGTTTACTTTGGCCTTTAGTAATGTTATAAAGAGATTTTAAAACATATATGGAATTATTTATTGATTTATGAAAAGTTAGTCATTTTCAGGCAGTAGAGAGAAAACAATAGAGCTTCATATTATAGCAAAACTATTACAATTTGAATAATTATCAATTTGTTATAAAATAAATTCTGTTTCTTTGTCACTGTGTATGCAAAATTGGTTCGGTAGTTCGAACAGTCCTAACAGACAAAAAACTCCAATTCGCATTTTTATTATTATAGGATCTGATAGAAATAGGATAGTTACCATAATTAGGATTACAATGTCAATAACAAGAAATACTTTAATGATTTATTCACAATCAAAAACAGGTAATAATAATAAATTTCAAACAAAGATTCGTGATAGTAAGGATATGCTAAGTTGATGTCTAAAACCAACCAAAGAACCATATTACATTGTGCATAGGTACAAGGTGATTAATTCTACGTATTTACTATCATTACATACTGGTTTTTGAAACATAAAACTGGTTTATTTAATAATATGTTGACCACCAGGAAGTCAGATCGAAAGGAGATTTTTAAATGACAAACAAGTCTTGACTTTTGTTGGCGAAAATTGCGTCGTCGATCATATTACTTTTTTATATACATATTTGGTAGTAGTTACATTTCATAGTTGAATTAAAATTATACTAGATAGTGTTCGGTATTTTTTTAAATACATTTAAGATCCCTTCTGACTTATAATGTAGTACCTTAGAGAGCTATTTAACGGTAATTTCTGTTTTTCATCATTTAACCATCAATAGGTTTTGAGTACAAATATACAATCGTCACATATGAACCGACTTTGCAGAAGTGATACTACGATCTCATAGAAAACCGATGTTAAGAAAATATTTCAAATTTTTCATCGTATCTTATTTTTTTCAGTTTGAGAACTGTGTTATTTCATCTAATGTTACACGTTTCGGTGTTTTCGAGGTTTGTTCCTCCTCTTGTGCTGATGACAAAACATGATGAATATTTAGATAATTAATTCCATAATTGTGTTTTAAAAAAAGAAATTGCCTTTAAAAAAAGTTGAACCGACTTTAAACAATACAAAAGAGTACTAAAAACCTAGCAGCAATCTGGGTTAATTTGCTGTCATTTTTTAAGGAGTGCCGTTGTGTGTCTCCGAAACTCATCATCAGATCAATATAAAATTTGAATGGCACCATTTCGGAATAACATACATATGACGGAGTTATGTTATAATGTATCGTATCTCGTTTATATCCCTGGGCAGAGTATCATTTTTTTAATGATGTAAGGGGACAAACGAGCAGACAGTTCATCTGATGGTAAGTGCTACCGCCGCCCATAGACACCTGCTACTCAAGAGTCTCAAGTACGTATCTAACCAAAAGTATCGATATTTTACTCACTAGTAACTAGTATCAATTTAAAAGGTATCGGAACAAAGGATCTATATCTTTGTATACTTTTCAGGAATTTGCTTGTAGGCGAAATAATACATTTTATGAAATAGTCACGGTCGGCCGGCGCAAAAACTTTGCCGGTAATAGTTTTCTTATTACGACATAATTAGTTTATTAGACAATTATCATGTTTTATTATATTTTAACTAAATGTTAATAATTTGGTAAATCATTTTGAAATATGTCACACAGAGCATTTAATTACCGATTTTTTATAACGCAACATTTCCTATGCTTTTATTGATACTTTTCTACTAATTAATCATATGCTTCTTGTTTAATAATAATAGTCACATAAGCTTAAGTGATATTGTATCTAATTTTATACTTATAATTGATGATAATATCATCAATTAGTGATGAATTATACACTTGGTTATTATTATTTTGAACTGTAAGTGATAAGGCCATGAACGAACGAACGTTTTACATATAATCTTTTCAGAGGTATTAGGGATATTATAATTATATACAATTATATTTACGGGAAGTAACGCGCTCACGATAACTATTAAGCATACCTTTATAACCCTTGGGACAACCCTAGAACGTTATCATGCTGTGATCATAGTATTCTCAACTATCGATAATTGCAGAGAATTAAAAGTTGAAATATAACTAACTGAGGTGTGTTTACCTAACATACTATTTGAAAGTCTAACTAAATAAATAAAAAACCATGAAATGAGACATTGCGCGAACTGTGTAATTTTTTTTTTTTTTACAAAGCAATTATATGATATGGCACATTGCATGGGACTTTTAAATTTGGTTTTGATATATTTGCTTATCAAGCGTGTTTTTTGTTTTAACTTTTACTAAACTATAATTTATTAAGAACTTGCGCATTGTTTATGACATAAACGTGAAAAAACTGTTAATGTGCTGCTGAGACGATATTAAAACATGAACGTTTTGAAAGAGCGGTTCTAAAAGTTTTTCTCCGTATCTAATATTTTACGGCTAAACAGCAAAACAATTTCAAAGGCCCTATAGCTACACTGCGTTTTACTGCATATCAAATTACAGAACTCCCTTTAAAGGATGAAATCAAACGCCTTAAACATTAAATCTATGAGTATCTAGCTACCATATCCACATTTAGAATTGCTCTATCGCATAGATTTCATTGTTTTAAAACCATGTCTACCTGCAAAATTAACACCATCCTTTTATTTATTGTTTAGTAAAATCTAAATTAAAAAGAACAATAATGTTCTTGTTTCTATAATAAAACTAAACATAAATCAAATGATTAAAATTAGCAAGAGACTAACACAAATCACCCTACATACACGCTTATATACAAAAATATCAACAAACACACCGGCATGCACAGACTAACACAAGGCTAAAATTAAAGTCTAATTATTTTTCAAATTCTTGTAACCTGTATCTGTTACACAGATATGCTTACTACGGAGAAAACAATGAATGAGTATTGAAGTATTGAAATTTAATTGTATTGTACTTTAACTATATGAAAAAGATATAAATACTGTTACCATTGTAATTAATATGTGTTATACATCGATATTTATATAAAGGTAGTGGCTGTGTTCCTTGAATTTGCAGCCGTGTTTTAACTTTAATAACTATACGTTTGTATGTATATTTTTCTTAGCGCTTACAAGTAAACAGAGAAACATAAACAAGCTATTAAAAACTTAGTATAAAACATTAAATTATGTTTGAATAACGTAGTTCACCCTGACATCTTAACAATCAAACAATGTGAAAATAAATAAAAAAATTACACTTACACAGACAAAGATAATTCCCACGGACATTTTCATTTCAAGTACGAGGTTAAAACGAGTGCCTTGTACACAAAGAGTAAAGCGTTGGTTGCTCTTAATAACACGACTGCCCACCGGCCGTCTCGTAAACACACTAAGTATTAAATTGAATGTGTTTATATGTTACAGACCGCGTCCCATTAAACGGCTTAAAATAAGGCGTGGTGTAGTCAGTTGCTGGAGCGGAATTTTGTCCGCTATAATTAAATGTTATTTACATCACACATTTTCTATATTATAAAAATATGCTATATATATTCATATTTCTTAATAGAACTAAACGATATTTTTTTACAAGTCAATGCAGTTTTTTTGATGCCGTAAAATTTGACTGCCAGTTTAATTAAAACTGTCTTTGAGTATAAAAACTCAATTAAAATTAATAAAACCTTCGTTTTCTTAAGTGGTTAAATTTTTATGCGGTCCAGCCAAATTCGAATAATCTTTACCTGATTACAGATCCATACAATAAAAATGAATAATGATTCTGACGAACACAGAACCTTCAAACAGCTCTGAGATTGAGTGTCATTATAGTTGTTGGAACGAAGGTCCTTCCCGAGCGTTACACGCTCTGAATGGATTGGGGCGAGACCGAAAAATGTGTAACAAGACTTTTTTTCTTGGTATAAGGCTCTATAGACCTCTCTCGCCGTTTTTTTGTTGTTAGTAGCCAGTTTCATTTTGTAGAGAATATTACCTCAGTACATTATCTTCTCTGATTGAAAGATTCTTATTTTACAAACTATAAATAGTGCAATCATCAATCATCATTTATCATTTTTTAAACATTAAAAATACTAACTTTTAGCTATTTTATAAAAATAGATACCTAACACGTTGGTCATGAACCAAATTTTTTTTTGAACTGAGACTTTAAATTACTACAAATCATGTAGTAATTTAAAGTCTCAATTCAAAATTTTTTTTTTATTTTTTAATATATAACATCTTCACCATTCCTTACAGTTTTATGTAGCATTCATAATATAAAACCATATACTCGTATACCGTGAAGGATTTAGCATTTTTCTAAAGAAAATATATTTTTCCTTAAGTACTTATATCGTCATAGTTACGTCATTTGTTTTAGTAAATTCTATAGAACATTGTGGCTCTATGAGCAAATCTTCCACTGCGCATACTACATTATTAGTTTATCCTTTTGCAGTATAATTTCACAACGTTGTTTAAGGATAAGTAATTGTTAGACAGGGTATATAACTCATATTTTACCCACCCTCATATTTTAACACTGCAAGTATGTTAAAACCGTTATGATTCTAGGTCAATATCTAAGAAAAACATTATTTTGATGAGACACAAATTCTCAGAGCACAAAAATACAGGAAAAGAAGTTTGTGGTTTTATTACACAAAATTTAAGTCCATCGTATTAATCATTTTTTGGCATTTGTGGTGTTTTAATATTTTTACATTGTTATTTAATGTAGCTATTTTATTATATTTAAAATAAGAAAAATCTCTGAGAACCGATTCCCGGGGTAAGTGAACTATCTACTTACAAGTTTAAACGGAACCCTAGTCGCATGACTTTTATTAAATAGAATTATCTTAAGTTACTATGACTTTTACAAAGCAAGATAAATTACTAAATTCATTAAATTAAATTAAAATTAGACTTGCAACGAATAGTATATTCGGCAGTATACCGAATACCGAATATTCGGCGAGGCCCCTGACCGAATAGCCGAATATTAGGCAAAAGTATTCGGCAGGATTTTAGCGCCAAAAACTTGTACAGACGTGATTGTTTCGCGCTCCTTTGTTTTGTTCTAATGTACTCATCGCCCGCGCGCCCGCTGTTGCTCTGCGCGATATATTGCTAACGCACTGCATGTTTCGACAAGTTCATTTCGTGGATATCGTATTATGTTAAGTACAGTTTATTGTGCTCTCTTAGTTTTGATCTGTTTGTAAGTGTGATAGTGTGAAATTTAACAAATAAACAATTAAATAATTACGAACGTACTTTAATACTAAAAAAATCGATTATGGCCTTTAAAAAAAATCGCTTATATGGGCATACTTCGAGGATGATGTAAATGATCCAAAAAGTGCCGTGTGTAAACTGTGCGAAATAAAAACTTTTGTGGTGGCGTTGGAAGAAAGGCGACAACATCGGGAATGTTAAATCATTTAAAAAATAAACACAATGAAGAATATTATAAGTTGGTAACCACGTTCCCTAAGGGGCAAGAACTACAAATCAAGATACGAATGTAAGTAATAAACCTTCAAGGTCAAAAAAACAATTAACTCTTGAAAAATGTGCAGAAATTAGTAAACTATGGGATATTAATGACCCCAAGGCAAAAAAGTACCATGTGTTAATTGCTGAAATGATCGCACTTGATAATGAGGCAGTAAATATAGTAGAAAGGGCTGGTTTTAGAAGACTGATTAATAGCGCTTTGCCGCGGTACAATATACCAAGTCGTCCTTACTTTTCAGACAATGTGATTCCAGAAACTTACACACAAAATATTTGTCGGCGTCAGGAAGTAGTGTTTATTCAGAGCGCCTTTTCTCTGAAGTTGGGACGGTCTACGAGAAAAAAAGAAGTAAACTACTTCCTAAAAATGCAGAAAAGTTAGTCTTTCTGCACCATAACCTTCCCCTTCTAAATTTTGATAATGAAAATAATTCAAATGCATAGAAAAATTCTTAACTTGTTTAATACAGAAAATGATTAAATTATGTATTTGTTTTATGTACCAATAACTACTTAATAAATGATTATAAAAGAAATGAGAACCTTACCCTTCTAAATTTTGATTACCACAATAATTCAAATACATAGAATCCTCCATTTTTCCAATTCAGAAGATGATTATGTACCTGCATTATGCACCAATGACTACTTAAATGATTATAACAGAAATGAAAATATGTATATATACGTAATCAATCGATTTTAATTTTTCATTTTACCAATTATTTCTCTATGACAAAATATATTATTTAAGTATTCGGTATTCGGCCGAATAATAGGTAGATATTCGGTATTCGGCCGAATATAATAAAAGCAGCCGAATAGGCCGAATACCGAATAGTAACCGAATATTCGTTGCAAGTCTAATTAAAATAGATAATAAATTGTGATATTTACGCGGATAATGTGTAAAAAATATAAGAAGCTTAGAAGGACGGAGCTTAGAAGGACTACCTCGATTGTGCAATGGTAGCGTATGCGATGTGGTCTCGAGGTCTCGGGTTTTATTCCCGGGTCGGACCAAGTATTTGTATGACCTGCAAATATTTGTTTACAAAAAACATATTTACAAAAGAAGTTTGTAAGTATTCTGTCAGTCAATCTAGCTTTCATAGTGCAAGCTCTGCATAGTTTGAAACTAGATGGCTAGAAACAAATGTGTGTCAGATGTGAGAAATATAATTATAAAAAAAAACAATGTATTTATTACTATATTTTAGCACACACGTTGCCAGTTAAACCGAAGCTTATAGTATCTTTACAGTATATTTTTATGTACTACTCTGTCAAGAAAGTACCGGGAAAAGACCAATAGTACACAAAATGTTTGTTATTCATCCAACTTTAATTTATCACCTTCAAAGTATGCTCCTTCAGAAACGATACACTTACGCCAATGAATAATCCAATCATCAAAACATTTTTTAAACACTGTTTCCGGAATTGAGTTCAGTTCTCGTCGCAAATTCTCCTTTATGTCTTCTAGCGATTAAAATAGGGTGCCACGAAGTGGTAATTTGAGTTTAGGAAAAAGAAAGAAGTCGGCTGGAGCCATATCTGGTGAATATGGTGGTTGCCCGATGGTATTTGTTGAATGTTTGGTCAAAAATTCGTTCACAATGATGGCCTTGTGCGAAGGCGCATTATCGTGGTGCAAAATCCAAGAATTTTCTTTCCAGAAATCTGGCCGTTTTCGTCGAATTTGCTCTCTTAAATGCCGCATTACTCAAATAATATTCTTTTTTTTTAAAGTTTAACCTTCGGGCAAGAATTCCGAGTGCACAACACAGCGATAGTCAAAGAAAACAGTCAACATGACTTTTGATCGACTTTGGCGTGTTTTTTTTCGGTTTCGGTTCAGTTTTTTTTTATCGTCCTACGTCTCGTCACCAGTAACAATGCGTTTCATGTATATTGGATCGGAATTGACTCATTCTAGCATGTCCTCAGCGACTCTCATACTAAGTTAAGAGTTTTTGGAGAAAATTCAGGTCTTTTGGGACTATCCGAGCGGTAACATGTTTCATACCCAAATGATTAGTTAAAATGGTACGGATCGACTCGTGAGCTACAGAAATTCAGTCACTTTTCCCTTCACTTTTGCGATGTTAACTTCAGTTGCAGACGTTGATGGCCTACCAGAGCGAGGCAAATCTTCCATCACATCTCGACCGCTTTTAAACGCTTTGTACCACTCATAAGCACGTGTTTTTGATAAAGTCGATTCACCGTAAGCCCTCTGTAAATTTTCAGTGACTCGGACCACGAAATTCCATTGGTGATGCAAAATTTAAGACAAACTCTTTGTTCGATGTTTTTATCCATTATGAAATTCGCAAGACACACTAGATATGATATAACTAAAAACAGCACTGAATTTAATATAAATAACAGATGCAACTCAAACTTAAACAGAAACAGTTGTCCCAATCTAACAACAACAAAAAAAAAACTTAAATTTGAATTTGGAACCATAAACAAATCATCCATTCCCGATACTTTTTTGACTGAATGTATGTCAATTTGGATTATAGCCCTTATAATAAGTTTCGATAAACTTTACTTTACAATCTATTGAACAACACAGTGTCTGTCTTTAATATTAATTTTTTATTATAATATCCTAGGTAATATTCCAGAATATTTTTAATATAGGTAAGTATTGTCACTATTATTTTTTATAACACTGAGAGCATAATTGCCAATACAATCACGGTTTTGTTACTGCTAAAGTGACTAGTTTTTTTTTTTATGTC